CTCTTGTGGGGTGGGGAAGCCAGCCCACTGCTCCCTCCATAGCAGTTCCTTGAGTTGGAGGCTGAGGCAGGACAAGGCAGCTGGGTAGCACACTACATGGTCATACCCTCCTCAGCCCTTATCTTTCCAGAGTGTGGGGCAACTCTCACACGGGTCTTCAGCCACCTCTCAACCCAACTGCCACGAAGTGTATGAGCAGTCATAGGACAGTGGCCTTTTAAAACAGGCTGATCTGGATGGCAGAAGGAAGTCATGCTTCGTGGAAAGCAGGCATTAATGTGTGAGACCACAGACCACATGAGGCAGGCCATATAAAGCACACTTTGTACAGGAAGGTACAGCTCTTGTGAACCCCTGCAGGCATTTTCTCTCCTGAAGCTTCCAGCCACCCTCAACTCTAGTTACTCCTTCCATCCTCATTATTTGGCCAGGACAGTCCCATACTCAGGTAGTCCTTACTTTTCTCATTTATCACTAGGCCTCAGAAAACACTGTTGGTCTTGCTACCTAGTGTGTCCTTTCTTGGCCTCAGGACCTGCTTCTAGGTCACCTTCACCCCCACTTCCCTAGAAAGCTCCTCCAGGGACTACCCAGTACAAGCCACTTCCTCCCTAGGCCTTTCCTACTAGGCATGAGGCCTCTTTTCCCGAGCATGGTAAAGGTCTGTGTGCCTCTCAAAACAGATTCGGCTCCGCAGTTGTATCACTCCATGGCTGCGTGGCCTTGGGTGAGTCTCTTTACCCTTTGCAACCTTAGTTTTTTCATTTATAAAAGAGAAGTCATCATCCTTGAAGTAGAGGAAGGTGCAGATTAGTGAAAAGCCCCCACACTGTGCCTACCCCACAGAGCAGGCTCTGCAGTCAGTGCTGGTCCCCTGGCTCATGCAGTTCTGAGAATCATTATCTTCTGCTAGGACCTGAGCCATGGAAAGTGAGTCACATGTCAGTTTGAGCAGTGGCACCTCAGGATGTCCCACTCCCACCCCAGAGCCCAAGACAACACTTCACAGCCAGATGCATGTGCAGGATTCACATTTATTGGTTCAAATACAGTACCTAACACTTGCTAAACATGCATTTCACACTAATTGGTCACATTTCCACAGGTAGTCAATTCACAGAACAGGGCCCATCCCTTGCCAGCAGGCAGGTGTGGGAGGTAGCAGAGGGCCTGAGTAGCCTGCAGAGCCCGCCAACTACCATTTGGTCATGCAGGGTAGATGGAGCCAGGCTGGCAGGCAGCCCTTGGCCGGCCCTTTGGGAACAAGGGCTCAGAGACATCCTGTTCATCTGATTCCTCCCCAGGACCGTGGGTGGAGGTGGACCTGGGTGTGCAGCCCAGGGCAGGCTCATGATGCATGTGTCATCACAGCCCCCAAGGGTGGTGCTGTGGGAAGTAGTACCCCCATGCCTGGAACTCAGAAGATGGAGGCCTCTTCAAGGGGGCGGCTTGTCCCTCACTGGGCAGTTGAAAAGGACTTCTCAGACACAGCCAGACATTACAATACAGCCACAAGCCCCTATCACAGGCCTGGGATGGCAACACAGACAAAAACACCAACACCCCAGGGCAGGCAGGGTTTCTTTCCCGACAGAAACATGTAAACAGTGCGGGAGCTACAATATTCTTTTCCCACAGGGTTCCTCTGAGAGGAATCAACCAGGACGTCACTCGAGAGGTAGTTTTTTTTTTAATGTAAATTTGAGTCAAGAACATTATCACCTATAATAAGACATTTCAGCAAAGAAAACAATGGTCACCAAATGGCAAAGAGGATCCTTTGGTGGGCAGAGCTGGCTCCAGGATTTGGAAGACCAGCCTCCACCAGGATCATGGTATTTTTCTTGGGCTTGGAGCAGGCTCTGCCTTCCTCCTAGCTTCCTTTTGAGCCTACAGCTGATTCCTGAGCAAGCCACAGTCCATTTAGGGCTGCAGGCCCAGAACACAGACGTGAGATGGAAGATGGACTGGGCAGAGGGGCCAGGCTTCTTATAAGCTGGTAGAGGCAGGGCCACCAGGCTTGTGCTGCAGAACAGTCAGAAGTCTTCAAGTCTCAAGGTGGCCCAGCAAGGCCAAAGAGGAAACCACAGGTGCTCTGGAGTGTCTGCCTCTGAAGCAAACAGTCTGGGTCTGGCTCCCAAGCCCAGAAAAGGAGATGTGGCTTACGGCAGCCAAGAGAGGGGTTTCTGGGACCCTGTAGTTAAATACACATCCCTGAGCTGTGGCCCCAGAAACCCTTGCTTCAAGGCTAGCCTGTTTCCGCACCTGGTGGCATGATTGCCGTTTCTCATCCTGAGACACAGGTGAAACATCCTTTCAGAGATGCTTCCAGCTGAGGAAAAGGAAGGCTGGTCAACTGCAGAGGGAAAGGGGAGTGTGGGACAGGGGAGGGAGCTCTTTGTAGGTCAAAGTCTGGGAGAAAGAATAGTGGGGCTTTTGTTTAGGGCTTGTTGTTTTAACCTTTAAAAAAATCAATAAAGAAAAAATTATTTTTCTTTGTTTTTTTGGTGGAACTGGGGATTGAACTCAGGCCCTTGCACTTGTCAGGGAAGTGCTTATTATATTACACTGAGCCATCTCCCCAGCCCCTAATAAAGAAAAATTTAAAGTTTAATGAAAAGGACTAGCCTGAAGACTGAAGTTTCTTAAAAGCAAAAATTTAAAAAACAACAAGGAAAAGCATACAGACCAGGTGTCCAAAGCTATGAATCTAGAACTACTGCTCAACTTCCTGCCCTGCTGGGTCTTTTCTCTGGCCAACGTTAGGCATGGCTTAGATGTTGCCCACACTGATTTGTCTATCCCATTCCCCAGGAAGCCAAGAGCAAGCAAAAGTAGGGAACAGGTAGCAAAGCAGGGTAGCTAGCAGAGAGGCCAGGGTATTAAAGATCTGATGACACTAACCTGGCAGATACTTCCCTGAGAAATGGCACAGGGCAGAAGCAGGCTGGTATAAGGTGGGGCAGCTTTCAGAGTTGCCATAAAGATCCCTAGGCTCCCTCTATGCCTGCTCCTTTCTATCCCTGGAGGCTGGTCTGCCTCACTTAGGACTGGGCACAGTGGAGCCATCTGAGCTAGGTGGAGTGCTTAGGTTCTGGGGAACTTCTCCCCAGATTAAAGGCAAGGGCATCACACCTTACAAAGGACTCCACAGTCTACAAAGAGAGGCAGAGAGCATGAATTAGAGACAAAACTCCAGGAAGCTAAACTATTATCTTGGGTCAAGAAAATGTTCAAAAGGAAGGGAAAAGCTTGCATGCTTCAATGTTGTGCAAGGAAGTAGGGTTCTCCTTTTCCACACAGCTTTCAGGGTCGTATTTTTACAGTGAGAAACTCACTCAAAGTGAGTGCTTTTGGTGGCAAGGATCAGAGAGAGGATAGAGGAATTTGAGACAACAGGTACAACTTTTCTTCTTCTTCTACTAGCAAAAAGGCTGCCTCTTAACCAAACATTATGGCAAAAACAAACACACCAAACCTCCCCCTCCAACCTTTCTCTGTGTCCTTCAAACCAAATTCACAAATACATCTAGTGGCTGACCTAATGTCTCCACACTGCTAGCTATACTCCTACCTTCTCTTCATAATACCTGAGTTTGCAATGCAACACATTCACTTTACCCTGTTTAAAAGAAGCTCACGTCATAAAAGGACTGGGTGCAGAAGACATTAAAGACGGTCCACAGGTCAGGCTCCAGCTTGGAACACACAGCCACTTGGCTCAGAGATTCTGCAGGGCTCTCAGCAATGAATGGGCTCTTTGTTCTGTGGAATCTGCTGCAAACATTTGTAAAAATGAATTTGTACAATGGCAACTTGCAGAACCTTTCCCCATTCCACAAATTAACAATTTGCTCTGTTTAATACTACATGATCGGAGAGACACGCTCTTGTCTGATCACAGGGCAACTTCCTTTGACACCCAACACAACAAGTAGGATGCTTAATTTGAAATGCCATTTCAAAAAAATAATAATTTGATAGATGGAGGTCTAAGCAAGCAAAGATGTTGCACACAGGAGCCGTCTTAGAGAAGGAGTCCCTAATATGTGTTTCTTCCCCTATTTGAGGAGAACAGCTTGGAATCTGACCTGTAGCCAAAGAATATGATCTAGTTGGTTAAACAAAAAATTCAGGAAAACAAAACAGAACAAAAAAAATACTGTGAACTTACAAATTAACAGACACACACGAACATATAAATTTTCCTGCTGCCGTATGAACAATGTGCTAGCTGGAGCTTTTCTGAGGAGCGTATCTTCTCCTTCTTATAACAGCTGGGGGAATGGCACTGAGGAGCAATGCTCTGAGTTTTAGATCCAGCAAACATCACTCTTTTGCTGGTTGGTACCCGTAACAATTCACCAAAAAGAAAAAATTATTAACAGAAGTAGACTACCCAATATGTGCACACTGCGGCGGTCACCTGGGTAGGCATACCAGGCTGAGTCAGGAGAGCAAACCGTCTTTGAACAATCTGACAGAGGAAGCACTGCTGGCCCCTCACACCTGCTGCAGGGGTGCACCTGCTGCATGGTCTGGCTGCAGCACTGGCTGCAGGAGGTGCCCAAGCAACAGCAGGAGCAAAAGCCACATTAAGGCAGAGAAGGGAAGCACCTGAGAGTGCTCCAAGACACACATGGTATGGGCCTTGCCAAAGTCCAGAGGGGCAGGAACACTTCCCGGGCTAAGGTGGGCAGACAGTGAAAGATAAGGGAGCAGGCCACACTTGTAGAGGTAGCAGACAGGACTTTATGAACATGAGGTAGTTTAAAGTCTCCCTTCCCTTCCAGGTGCTTTTGGCCCCAGCCCTCCAAGTCTTGACTGGCCAGAAACTGATTCACCAAAGAGTAGCTGAACTTTCTGTTCTGGGGCCCTGAGAAAACCTGGTTTCATTATGGAGAGATTAGGAGAACCTGGAATAAAACTAAGGAGCAAAATTTCTGGCCAGCAGAAGGGTGAATGGTCCTTTCCACTATTAAAAAAAAAAAAGAGAGAGAGAGAGACTAGATTTAGATTTAGTCCTGTGGGAGTGGTGGTGGGGACAAAGGATTCTAAAGGAGGAATAATTACTCTTTCAGCAGCTTGGTCTTTGTCTTACTACCTCTTTGAAGCAAAGAAGAGGAGAGTAAGTCAGTAGTGGGCATCAGGATTCGGAACATCACATTTTGCTCAGATTTTCAAAGGGTTGCAAAGAAGTCAAACTCATAAAGGAGAGGGGAGAAAGTCTGAGAAGGGCAGGTCTTAGATCATGTACAAAACTAGGTAGCTGTGAGCCCCAAGGGAGCTGGAACCCAAGTCTTAGGGATTGACTTACTGCCACATCTTTGCTGGATGAACAGTTGACAGTGGCAGAAATGGACAGGGGTGGCACAGGGAGAAGAGGGCAGCCTAGAAGTCGTTTTGCCCTTAGGACCAACCTGTTGAGAGGATGCCTGCTTTACATCTGGGCACTGTGCCCTGCTCTGAACTCTAATTTTTCATTGAGATGGCTCAACCCTCATTTCCTGTTCCAAACATCTTGCCCATCTTGCTTCGTGAATCCCTGCCACCACTTCTCTTACTTGACAAGTACATGGCTAGAAAAAGGCAGTTTGCTCTCTGACAGACAAATACGTAAGTCTGCTGAGAAAAAGTGGAAATAGCAGGGATGGCCACATCCCCCCTTCCATTGAGGTAGTCATCTTTGTTAACACGGAAAGAGTATCTCAGCCCATCCCCACCCTCTCCCTCAAAATACAAAAGAACTATCTAAACAATGACAACACCGTAACATTAGACATCTTCACATTCTGTAAACTGCAAGGAAATGCATCTGCTGCATTCACACAAAAGCATGTGCATCATGTTGAAGGCCATACATTCAACTCTGTCGTGAAATAAATATATAGAAAAAATGAAGTTAAACAAACAAACAAAAATTCTTCTTGTTATGGAGGCAACTGCACCATGCCTCCATCCTGGTCTCTGGCTCTCTTCCTGAGCCTGTCCTGCCTACCCAAGGCTCTGTGGTTGCTGAGGGGCACAGGGAGCAGGTCACTCCTTGACCATACTTGTCTTGCAGGAATGTAGTACCACCTTAAAGAGGAGGGGCAGCTGCTCCAGAGGGACATTCACCATCTTTCCTGGGAAAAGATAGGAGAAGAGGAGTTAGCAGTGGCCACTAGCTGAAGGGCAAGCCTGCCTTCTTGTGTTAATGAAAAATAACACTGCTGGGCCGAAGGACTATAAAGGTCAGATAGGGCTGGCATCTACTCCCTACCCTCTCATTTTGGAGTCCTTGGGACTATCCATGGCTCTGCTAGGTGGGTAAATGCATTACCTCTTCTTTTTACCATTTTATTGATGAGGAATCTGAAATGAAAGGTAGTCCTACCTAGCCTTATTAGAGCTAAAATACCGGAATTTTATATTGTCTTTTTTTCCCCTAGTAGACAATTTTATGTTGTCTTTTTTCCCCCTAGTACGAAAAACATTGTTCTTTAAAACAGTGTAAAAGGTTAATAAAAGTTGGTGAGGGGGGTCACAGGGCAAAGAAACTTGTGAAATTCAGAATTAAAGCAGTTGCATAGGTTTCTTTATATGAGTTTTCTGATCATTTAGTGTACCAATATAATTTGTAAATGGCTAAGGTAAAGATGCTTTCCCTGGCAGTAACTTAGAATCACCTGAGGCTGGGGGCCTGGAAGATAGCTTAGTAGAATAAGCACTTGTTTGGCAAACGCAAAGGCCTGAGTTCAATCCTTTTTTTTTTTTTTTTTTGTGGAACTGGGGATTGAACTCAGGCCCTTGTGCTTACTAGGGAAGTGCTTATTCTACTGAGCTCTCTCCTCGGCCCCCAATCCTCAGTTCTGCCCACGCCCCTCAAAAAAAAAAAAAAAAAAAAAATCACCTGAGGGACATTTTAAAAATACTGATTTCTGGACTCCTGCTCAGACCAATTAAATCAGAGTGTGTGAAGGTGCAAATTGAACACTAGTTTGTTTTGTTTTTAGTGGCCAGCTCAGCCCACCCCAGGGGTGAGGCTGGTATGTGGTGCTGGGGATCCAACTGTGGTCCCTCACACTTGCCTAAACAGCTTTAAACTGCTGAGCTATCTTGCCAGCCCCAGTTGCCATTTTTTTTTTTTTTTTAAATGTATTTGGTACAAGGCCTCACTATGCAGCTCGGACTCATAGTGATCCTCCTGTTTTCAGCCTCCCCAGTGCTGGGAATCCAGGCGTGTGCAACCATGCCTGGACTCCATGGCTTCAGCATGCCTTTGGGTGGGGCTGCACCTCATGTGGTACCAGGGATTAAACCCAGTTCCTGTGCTTGCCTAAGTATGTGCTTAGTCCACTGATCTATCTCGCCATGCTGTCAGAACCAGTTTACATCTGCTAGACTGCTCTGTGGTCCGAGAGGTAGGCAAAAATTCCTGTCAGATTCTAAGTTTTTCATTTGAAAATTATATTGTTGAATTTTGCAGGAACAACCCCAGTCTAGAGGTCACATTTCTGAGCTGCCCCTCAGTATACACTGGATGGCTAGAAACAACCTTTACTAAATGAAGTAAAAAACAACAAAAAGCTAAGATTATGCAGTAAAATGGAACTATTAATTATCAAGCAGCTCAGAAAGGGGTCAAGACCACACACAAAGACACACCCAACACAAAGAATTCCTTTGTGAATGCAGGATTTTAAAGGTAATACTTTTCATGATTCCTGAAAGTCTAATCCTATCAAAATCTTTTTAAAAATTGAGATATAATTCACATGTCAAATTCATTGTCTTATAGTATACAATTCATGGGCCCTGCATGTAGTTCAGTAGTGGAACACTTGCTTAGCATAGTGAGGCCCTGGGTTTCATCTTCAGCACAACACACACACACACACACACACACACACACACGTACATATTTCATGAGAAGTCAATTTGAGATTCTTTAGCCTATCTTCCATTCAAACAATGTTAGTATTGCCAACGATCAGTCTTACAGAGAATGTTCTGAGATTAAATGAAGCTACAATGTATCCTGCACACCACAGGAGTTTAGGAATTGTGTATTTCTCTAAAAAGAAAACACAAACTTCCTATTAAAAGTTCTCGGAGAGGATATTTTTATGCATGTAGTGATGTGCTTGGTTGGAATCAGGTTCTTAAAAACACTTTCACAGGTCAAGAGAAGCAAGGAAGGGATGGAAGCCCAGGACACAAACTGTTACCTGCAATGTATCGAATCTCAGGTAAGCACATCATGAGATCAGGGAAGCGGTTAGGCTGGTGTGTGTATTTATATTCAGTGAAATCCTGGCAAATGTACCAATATCGCTTGTTCAACTGTTCCAGCTGTGAAGCACTGGTCAGACCCCTAATATCTGGGGGAAAAAAATCACACAAAGAATGAGAGGGGCTAATTCAGAAAAACACATTCTTGAGTATGTGCATCTTCCAATTAAAAGCTATTAAACTTGGTCACAGTAGGGGATCATTTATATTTCTGATATGGAAGACCTTAGTGGTTTTTTTTTTTTTTTTTGGTGTGTGTGTGTGTGTGTGTTATCAGGGACCGAACTCAGGACCTTGTGCTTGCCAGGCAGGCACTAGGCCACTGAGCTATCTCCCCAGGCCCTTTAACTCTTGAAAAAAGAAGAGAAATAAGAAAAAAGATATATACATGAGGATAGTTACTAGATTTGAAGACTAGGCTGTGTCTTTCTCAGCTTCACACCCAGCACCCAACACAGGGCAAAGCACAAAATAGGCCAACAATGAATGGTTAACATGGAAATGATTACCTACTTCTCCAAATGTGTCTTTCACAGTATCTTTAGTTTGCCTAATGCTGGAGCCAACCATAAATCTTGCTGATACCTACAATCTTCATGTGTGCCAAACACATATACAACACCCCAAACACATGATCTTCATTTCCCTCTGCTCTTATATTTTGTGTGCTGACCCTCTATTTTTCTTTTTCTTTTCTTTCTTTCTTTTTTTTTTTGTGGAATCAGGGATTGAACTCAGGCCCTTGCACTTGCCAGGGACGCACTTGTTCCACTGAGCCATCTCCCCAGCCCCTGCCCTTCTATTTTTCTATATAATTTTTTTTCTCCAACTATCTGTACACATACTTGGGGGGAGGGTACCAAGAATCAAACTCAGGACCTCATGCTTGGCACGCAGGAACTGCACAACTGAGCTTAAGCTTCAGCCCCTTACACATACATTTTTATATATAGAATATAAATAAAATAATCTCCATATCAATCTTATCCAGGCTTTGAAGCCCGCTCAAATTTTTCCTCCTCCAAGAAGTCACTGTGACCTCCTCCAAAGAGGAGCAATGAATATGCCCAGTGCTAGCAGAGTGTGTACTGCTTGAGGGATCTTGGGTCTAATGTCTTTTAATGTTGCTAGTGCTCAGCATAGGACTTGGCCTGGGGGGAAACATGCAGACATCAGATAAATATGTAAGTGCAGAGGATGGAGAAGGTGGTCTGGCCAGCATGGGGCAAAAACAGGCAAGGAGAGGGAACCAAGAATCTCTGGACTAACAAACTGAGCACAAAATAAAGCACTTTCAGTGCCTTAGACACCAACATTGCCCAATTCTGCTCTGAGAATAGAGCATTCACATGTCACTGCAGAAAAAAAAACATGAATATTCCTTTGTGTGCTGGTTACTAGCAGCTACCAAGTATCACTTTGCAGGTAATGCACAAAATTACATCCAGCACTCTTCTAATTAAAAACCATGCCTGATAGGCACATGAGTTTCTGTGTACTGCCACTCTTCCCAAAGAGGCATCAGAACCACTGCTGGCCTGTCAGAGGCCTTATCTCCAATGGTTTCATCAGTCACTCTGCTCTTCTTCAATGACTGTTAAGCTTGGTACATATTTTAAATGACGCATGTACTGTCCTTGGTGTCTGTGTTTAAATGCATGAAAATTGACTAAACAAAGTGAATTCTCTTCCTTCCTCTATGAGTTACAGAGATTGTGGCATTTACATTTCAAGAAAAAAATTGAAAGCATTCCCAGCACTATAAAGGGGTAGGTGATGACGG